TTCAATCCTGTGCGTCCAATTACCTTAGGAAGTCATCTAATTGTTACTAGTCTGTCTGTGTGTAATTTAATAAACATAGCTGGTTTCTGAAGGGCCTTAAGGTTTCTAGGAAAACCTTTGTCAATAAACAACATCATAAGGACAAAGGAGATGTAAAATTAGATCTAAATCCAACTCACAATCTGACATCGTTTGAAAACTGATGTTCAGAAAAACTCTCCAAACAATCAGGCAGTGGCTGTGATCTTATTTAAAAAATAAGGGGTAAAACATATTGTGAACTTCTCAATAATGCCTCTCAATGTGTTAACACACACACACACACACACACACACACACACACACACACACACACACACATCAAATATATTAAAGTTTGTGGTTGAAGTTGTATAAAATATGAAAAAGGCTAATTGGGTATTTATACAGTTTTTCTATAAATGTAATTTCTTATTTTACCATCTGTATAACTGTTTTCTCTTTTTATGCAGCTCAGACCACAAGGAATACACTGAAAAACCTGATGGGCCGTCCCAGGTAAGTTTAAATGTCTGATCTTGAAGAGAAATTTGTCCTTGAGGGTCAGTTCCCCGCAAAGTGTAGGTGGCTCTCTGGTCCTACCCTCCTGCATTAAATGGATGACATAGCCGTTAGCATGAGATCAGGTTCTTCAGAATCCTGCTTACGACCTGATTCATTTGATTCCGGTCCAATGGACCAGAGACGCATGTAAAAGTTTCAGGATGTCTTTGTCTATTTGTGTCTAAGAGCTATGAAATCTTTTTAAAAATCCTTTTTCTTATGAGACATACATAAATTTTATGATTTCTCGAAAATGAATTCATGAACCAATGCTAATGCTAATGATTCTGTTCTTAATGTTTTTTTTTTTTTTGTTTTGTTTTCCTTTATCACCCTCTTGTGAGTGGGTCATGCAAAATGTGTGCTGGCTGCGTTTCTCAACAACGGCTTGTGGTGAAATATCAGAGAAAAACAAAGCAGAAACTGTTAGAATAAATACTTTCCACAATAGCGATGAGTTATAGTGACACAAAGTTTTACTTGTTTTCATTTCCTGTTCTGCCTTGTTTTACAGGAATATTCCACAGAGCACGAATGGTCTGAAGATGAGGTCACTGGCTCATACTTATCACCATTACGACACGAGAATAAAACGAAAAGCAGGGACAATTCTTTCTTTGACTCCTCATCCAGGTGAAACAATGCAGTAGGTTAGACATGTAGCTTTTGTTTTAGATGTTATCTAGATAAGTTGAAAGAAAGTTCAAGTATGCTTGTGTCCTACCTGTGTAGGTTCTCTCCAGAAGTTGGGAAGTCCCCTATTAGAAGCCTTATTTTGGCGGAGTAAGTTCCCCTTGGCATCCAAACAGACGAGGTTCAGACAAGAAAAAATATTTGCACACAATTTACAAGTGTGGCCAAATAATAATGCTTTAACAAACTACAAACTGTAAAGAAAATCAACACCTTTAATTAAAATGTTTCTGTTTGTTTGGCAACAGAGAAGAAGAATTGCTGTACCTTGAATTCATTTCTTCTGTGACTGAGGATATCCTGTCCAGGAGCCACATCTCTGACAGGTTTCTTTTTAATTTTCTTTGCTGCAAACATATATTCCCTTGAAAACATATTTGTTACTCGTGACAACCTTTATTAGATTTTGTCCCATTACAGTCACTAAATATTTCATTGGGGTTGTATATGATGGACACAAAGCACAAAATAAACACAAAAAGGAGAAGAATTGTGAAGTGGAAGGAAATGGACGTTTGGTTTTCAAAATTTGTTCTAATATTAGAAGAGCATGGCATTCATTTATGTTCAGCACCATTGAGTTAATACTGTGATGAACTATCTATTACTGCAATTAGAGCTGCAGGTCTGTTGGGGACTTAACTAGATGGAATAAAGAACGTCTGTAAACACAATTTTCAAAACCTGTTAAAGATTTTAACTTTAGGTATAAACTTTGACTGAACTGTATTAATACATGGGAATTATTTGATCTGAGCTGCTCCTATTTTAACTCCGAATGTATGTTTAGGGCCAAGTCCTGTTTTAATGTGGTCATGTTGCTTTTAGGGTGATGACATACAGACGTAGTGTTTTACATGTTGGGCAAAAAGTTCCGTTTTGGTTCCATCTGACTGGAGCATCTTCTTCCCTACATGGCTTGTGACAAGCTGCAAACAGTCTATTAAAATAATGACTCTCATTGCTGCTCATCCATAAATGTCAGGTTTGGGAAATGCATTAATAATAACTGTCCTGTCAATGGATTCTTCTACCCAAGCCTGGGATCTCTGGATGTCCGCCATAGTTACTGTGACCCTCTTGGCTACTTCTCTGTTTAATGTTCGCCCAGCCTGGCCTGTCATTAGAGATGGCAATGTTTTTGTGGTTTGCAGCTGTGCCATAATCTTTCCATTTCCTGTTGATGAATTGAAAAGTTCTCTGTGAGACGCCAAAGCTTTGGGAAATCTTCTTAAAACCTAAACTTCCTTTAAACCACTCCACATAATTATCACAGAACTTTTTGATGTTTGTCTTGGTTTTCTTGATGCCCTGCCTCTACCAGAAGGGCCGGATTTGTATTGAGATGATGTAATTCTCTTTGTTATGGGAAGTTGAATTTTCCAAAATCTATCTGTCTCTCTCTCTCTCTCTCTCTCTAAGTGTTAAATGTTGCCCATTTAGCCATTGGAAAGATACTCCTTTTGTGTTTCAAAGCTTTCAAAGTGTCATGTCACTGAGAGAAATATGTTGTTTTTGGTTTTTATTGCTAACAGTGATTAGCACCAAAGCAAAGCCCTCTTTTTTAAACTTACACTCAACTAAAGCATTCTGACTTCCAAGAAAACCTGAACATGGCAACATGGTTGAACTGGACTTCATTTTGAGGTATAATACAGTTAAAAGGACTGAAAATAATTGCACAGTATTTTATTTGAAAAAGAAAAAGTTTTGAAAACCATGTATGAATATGGGATGGATTTTTCATCCATCCCATCTACCATCCATCTACCGGGATGGTAGATGGGATGGATTTTTCATCCATCCCATCTACCATCCATCTACCGGGATGGTAGATGGGTGGATATAGAAGTGATTGCTGATTGTTAAATTGAAGATCTATCACTTTGATAGAATATGTAGAGTTTCATACATCTATGTTTTTGAAAGGATGCTCGATCGGGTGATGAATCGACATATTGAAATGAATCTGCATCGGCTTGATGAGGTAACTGTATAGCTTAAATAATATACCAAAAATGTTAAATAAGTATTGTTTACTGCTTAAGAAGATCCTACTATGCTTATTTTTTCAGGGTAAAATGCGCCATCTTCTGGAAGTGTTGCGTAATGAATTTGAGGAACCCTCCGACATATCCACCTCAACTAAAGACCCTCTGAAACACGGGAGAGCTTTACTTGACTCTGTATTTTCAAATTTTGAATTTGGGCCTAAGCCAGTAGAGACTAAAGAAGACGATGACGTCATACCTTATGCCTTACAAATTAATCATCCTGATTTGTCAGATTATGACGATCTTTCATGGGTTTCTCCACGCCCATACTTTCCTGTAAGAACTGCTTCTTCAACCAAAACAAAGGCAGAGGACGAGAAGAAAGACAATGATGAAGAAGGTGCTGGCTTAACGTTGTGTAGTGGTGATCTTATAGACAGTAGTCAAGACAGTCAAGGGGACTTTCTTCAGACAGATGTTACTGAAACGAATGTCCAGAATGAAAACTATGAGCACATCACTATGAGCAATGATGGGAATCAAAGTGATGAGCCGTCTAAGGAGGCAGAGGATCTGGGAAACGTTTTGTCAGAGTCGTTACATATTTCTAGCAGAAGAGACTCTGAAAACGTAGCAGCTACTGAAGAGACAAACACAAACCAACATGAAGATGTCAGTGATGATGACTTCTGAGCTGTGGTGTACTCAGGGATTGAATGTCGTTTTTATATGCGGTTCTCAGATGATGATGTTTCAGACTGAACTAACAAAGTGGGTATTCTTGAAGATTTGTGAAAGTCATTTAGCACTGGTTATGTCTTACAAGGCACATTAAGAAGGTGTTTCAGTTGTGTTTTAATCGTTTTAATGAATTGTTTTCTGTTAAAGTTCAATGAAAATATTCCTGTTGTTTTGAGGAATCTTTAAACCGGGGTTGTACTTGACCATAACTGTAGTTAAGATATTATCAGTGTTATTTTTAAAACAATAATATGCAGATTCCTGAAGCCTAGATGTGTGAAATAGTTTCACATTAAAAAAAAAACTTATGTGAAAACTTAAAAATGGTATCTGCCAGAAAAAGCCCCGTTAGTTTATTTGCATTTCCCACTCATACGTATACCCTGTGCAGCTGTAGCATAGGCACTTGTTTTAACTATGTATTAATAAAATGCAACAGGCTATACGTTTGTTAAGTTTGCCTTTTTATGCTTTCGATATGTAGCTTTTATGAGCTCCACCAGAAAGTGTCTTCTGTTTGCATTGCAATAAATTGTTTCTTGAGTTTTGTAAGTTTTCATCTGCGTCGTAAAACGCTCTTATAACCCGCTGAGTTAATGATCGCGACTTGGGAAATTTAGCAAACAAATACAACTTTGGACAGCATCGTGTGTGATTAAAGTCACTGGGTGAACTGCGAGTCGATACAAAAGGTAAACAAACATGTCCGCGGACAGTAGTTCGTGACAGCTGTCCCATTTCTGGCATTTTCACCGCTCAGCATTCCAGCTGTCTGATGTCATATCACTGAAAAGCCCCGTGTATTCCTCCGCCGCTATGGGACTACAACGAATTTAAATAAGTGTTCAAATAAAATACGAACACCCACATAGCCGGTATGTATTCAGAATAGACTTTTCGTGTTTTTCACTTTAGTTCGAAATGTAGGTGGGCACTAAAACGTATGTACTAAATATGCAGCAGCGCGGAGGAAGACAGAGTCCACTTGTTGCTCTTCCAATCCCAGGAAGCGAAATACGCTTGGAACTTCAGCGAACTGTTGGGCCAAGAGAGGCATGGGGTTGCTGCGTTAGTTCAGGTCTACGGACTAACTATAGTCTAGTAAAAGTCTCACTCAAAATCAAAAAAGTATCCGAAGAGTTGTTCTCGACAGGCTTCGATGACGAAATCTTTAAGGAGCTGATATAATTTGGACTTTTAAATTGCATCTCTTGGCTAACGGTAACGTTAACACCTTTTTTTCTTCCCAAAATATTTACCGGCGACGTCAACCTCTCGAGGGTGTAGTCTATTTGCTGGAGCAGAAGTTAGCTGGCTAGCTAGCAGGAGTTAGTTGGTAAATTGAATGATTTGAAAATATAGCAATAAAAAATGGTAATTAGTTATAGAAGACGCCACATTATTTATCCAGCTAATGTGAATACAGTTGTTAGGATTATTTAATAGAATGTGAGATTGAAACTGCGTGGAGTTAGTGAAAAGGCATTGTTTTTGTTTTAGTTTGTTTCTCGAATCACAGGTTCTAGTTGTAGGTCAAGGCTATTTCCCGGGAGGGGATTATCCAAGCACAAGCTTGAAAAATGATGAACGCAGGTTAGGCGGTGGAATTAAAATATTTGTGCAACTATATGTTTTTTTTTTCTTCCAAATGAGCATTAAAACATCTAAAAACTGAATGAATGAGGGCTTAAAAAATTAATGTCAACAAGGTTTGTAAAGTAGAAAATGCAGCTCTGAAGATTACGTAAAACTGTGTTTGTCTGGATTATGACACCAGAAGAAATGACTTCTCCCACAAGTATCATACATTTTAAAACGAGTCACTCTTCCTCATCTCTTACCCCTGGTTTTTAGGAGTCTGCAGCTGCAGCTCCGGGACCGTATCTGACTTGTTAGGCCCTCCTAAATGGTTCGTAATAACTTTGGGAAAAATAATTTACAACTGGGCAGTTCAAAAATATATAAACGTAAAGACAAAGTTTATCAGTTTTCTGTGTTTTCATGAAAGATCTACATAATTTTGTACTTCAGAATGAGATTAGTATTAAAATATTTTCATTTTTTTTTCCATGTTTAAAAAGCAAATTGTACTTCCCTTCAGTTTCCACAAATATGAGATGTTCAGTTTAAGAAAAAATGGTTTATTCTCAATCTTAAACATTGGCTGTGTGTATATTTCTTTAATTTAACAGTGAAACATTTATACTTACACAAAACTTTATTTTTTATGAAGGGTCATGCATGTTTTACATATAGATATAGATAGATATTTTAGGGACACTGGGAAAACACAGATGTAAATATTTTCAGGTAACATTTTATTTTACTTTATTTTTTCTTGACCAATGATGACTGTAATTTCGATTTTAAAGTGTTCTGATATGTTTTATAGTACTGTTAATTTTTTTAGAAATGAACATGAAAATGTAGCAAAAATAAAATATTTCACTAGCACATATAGTTTAATGCTTACCAATATTTTAGTTTGATGTTATTTCCATTTTTGCTCAAAAAAAATAAATGAATGCTGTAAGTTTTTTTTTTGTTAAAATATATTTTCACAAAATCAAGAAAACCTCTCAAATGTCTACTTTAATTTGTTCCAATGCATTACATTAAAAAAAATAATAATTTAGCAGGTATACAAAATTTCTGATCATTTTAGAGTTAGGAAAACATGCTACTGCTATGACGGTGATTGAAAATAAGCCTCATTTTCTACCTTACTCTCTTCCATTATATTTCTATCCCTCATATTTTTTGTGTACTGCGAATACATTTCCAAACAATTAAGTGCAATAAACTTTTTTTTGTCATTAAAGTACATTTGACAGTGCTTTTTTTTTTTTTTTGTTTTTCAACATGCAAAAAAATAGTATGCTCACATTTGCTGCAGGATTTATTCCTGTTGACATGATGCAAACAGATCTATTTAGTCGCATAGTTTAACTAGAGAACTGATGCTGTGTTAGCTTCTCTAAGGAGTGCATCAGTTTTTAGTATTTTAACCATTGCCTGAAATAAGTGCCCAGGGATAGCGAGAGTTGGGGCTCCTTAAGGGTGGTATATTAGAGTTGCTTTGTGAAGTATTTTTTGTTATGCAGTGTTTTGTTGTCCCTCTATACTCTTGTACTCAGCGCATGTTTTGTCTTTCTCCTCTCGCATATCAGAGCTGACATTAAACGATGATCCCCATGACTTGAGATTTCTCGCTGTGTTGGAGCGAACACCAGAAGCGAGTACTTCCTCTGGACGACAAGACATCGCCACCTGTGAAACGAGTAAATCATGCCCTTGCCATTTGGCTTTAAGCTCAAAAGGACTCGAAGGTATACTGTTTCAAGCAAGAGCTGTCTTGTCACTCGGATTCAGCTTCTGAATGGAGAGTTTGTTGAGTTTACGCTGTCTGTGGAGAGCACTGGGCAGGAATGTTTGGAGGCAGTAGCCCAGAGACTTGAGTTAAGAGAGGTATGTATGGGTTTCCATTCAATACAAATACTGATTGTTCCTTTTTAGGACTTGCTATCTCAGCAGTAAATTATTTTAGTTAGGCTGTCCTCCGGTCAGATTCCTTCGTGAAACTCTTGAATCGAACAGAAGAGACAGACGAGCAATTTCTTTCCAAATCAGTGTAACATTGGAATATGTTATTTAAGTAGTGTACACACAATCATAGAGCGCTACTTTAATGGGCATGAATCGTATTTTTAAAATTATTTTATAAAAGAAAATGAAACCATTCCAAACATCTAACAGTGGTCATAAAAGCAGCACTGAGTCAGAATTTTAAAGGTTTCAAATTTCCAGTAGAAACTAAAAGTAAAGTTGTTTCTGTTGCAAGAGACCTGATATCTTAATGTTGCACTGCAAGCCAAATTGAAAGCAAATGCTTTAATGTTATTTAGTGAGTAAGAAGAAACAACAAATATTTGCAGGAGGACAATATTTATATGTTCCCTAAATATCAAAAAAAAAAATTTTTAAAGTCTCAGGGATGTTATAATTGGGCTGAAGTTCTCTGTTAAAAGCTGTGATATCCTCCAACATCCAGCACTGAATTTATTTAGAGGCTGTCATTGACATTTTGCCAGTAACTTCCAGATTGCTCGATGCGGCTATCCTCCACCACTCTGTGGCTAATGTGCATTTGTTCCTGTTTGTTCCTTTGTGTGTGTGTGTGTGTGTGTGTGTGTGCTGTAGATCACATATTTCAGTCTGTGGTACTTCAATAAGCAGAACCAGCAGAGATGGATCGACTTGGAGAAAGCCTTAAAGAAACAGTTGGACAAATATGGGCAGGAGCCCACAGTTTACTTTGGAGTTTTGTTTTACATACCCAGTGTTACCCAACTGCAACAGGAGATCACAAGGTGAAGTTCAGAAAAACCACCACAACTCCCATGCTGTAAACATTTCAGAAACAACGATTCAAGAGCTCTGGTTTGAGTTCTTGAAAGTCTGTCAGGAGAGATTAATGTCGCACTTTGATTGCACTAAAGCCTACCGTGTTTGCTCTGCTCTTACTTCCATGTCACTATCCCACAGATACCAGTATTACCTACAGTTGAAGAAGGATGTTCTGGAAGGCAGGATCACATGCTCACTGGACCAGGCTATTCGTTTAGCCAGTTTAGCAGTACAAGGTAAAAATCTGTGTGCAGCTTTAGGCTTTTGCCAGAAACGCAAGATTTTCTGTTTCTGTGTGCGTTTGTGGCCCCGACTCCGTTTACATGGAACACACTAAAATATAATTTTGAGCCTCTTGGTGTATTTCTTCATTCATATTAAACAAAACACCAAATTAGTCATAAATTACATTAAATTACTCACATCTCTAGATGCTGCTCAAACATTTTTACAGCCAGTTTTGGTTGGCCGACTTGTTTTGATTTAATAAAAATGCATGTTTTCCAGCAATGGAGCTAAATAGATAAGTGCAGCATTTTTTGCACCCAGAGCTCCTATTTAACAGTTGGCTTTGTAAGCAGCTGGTAAAAAGTGCCTTTTACGTAGAACAAAGTCCTTTTTTTGATTCTTGCGATACGCTGCCTATTAATGTCACTACGTGGTTTGTCAAGTTCTTCCACTTGATTTTAGATTTCTTCACTGTGTAATTTGATATGTTAACTCGGAAACTGTTATTTTGCTTCAGTCAGTTGTAGCTTTCGATCAGTACTCGTATCTGAAAAACTGAACATATATGTGATTGTTTTTAGAAAACAACCTGCAGCTGCTAATATGTTTTTCAGACAGTGGTGCCAAACAAAATGGACCACTCCAATTCTAAAATTAGACCCGTCATGCACTGCTGTATTACACTCTACTGAAGTTCCCCATTGGTTTTCTTGCTAAAAATGCAAAGTGCTGTGAGGAAATGAGTCCTGAGAGTTTTCTTTTGGAGTTTATGTGTCGAGCTGCTCTCACTATTTTTATTTATTTTTTGATGCCGACAGCTGACTTTGGAGACTTCAATCGATACGACTCCCAGGAATTTCTTCAGAAGTTTGCACTATTCCCTATTGTAAGCATTTAGTTTCTTTATTTTCTCCAGTAGCAAAAGTTACTTTTGCTCTTTTGTTTTTCACTTTAGCTATATAAAACCTAACTGTGTTTGCAGGACTGGATTCAGGATGAACGCGTGCTGGAGGAGGCCACTCAGAAAGTGGCAATTCTCTATCAGTCATTCAGGTGAGCATATTTTCCATCCATCGATTCTTCTCTGTGCTTGGATCAAGAAATTAATGGACCTTAGGGTCAGTTGGCCACTTTGCTCTCCTATTTTCTACCTACTCCTTTCCAGTTTGTTCTTTCCTTTTCAAATTTCTTAACAATTAACATACTAGTTTATAAACATGCTTAAGAAAATTGCAAAAATTGTTTTCTGGTGAAGTACTTTGATAAATAGGGATATATAATCATACAAATACTCTGATTCTTCATATGATTTATGTTCTCATCAAACTACAGATTTAAAAAGTTAGTGTGGATCAGTAAATTATTGCACTGTTTAACAGTGCAGTAATTTACTGCACTGTTTAACAGTGCAGTAATTTACTGAATTATTTTTCCATGCAGCGCTAAGACCCTCCTGCTGCCTCTGAATGGTTGTTTCTGACTGACCTATGTGTTTCACACGTTTGCTGAAGCACGTAAGCTCGCCGATGATGTTAAGAAAACTATAGTAGCCTTCAAAATAAAAGCAGTATCATTGTATTTGCCACACTTATGGTATTTACATTTTCACTCCGGTCAAAGGTTGTCAACAGGCTGGATTTGGACCACAGGTCATAAAATGCCCAGGTCTGCTGTAGATGGTGGTTGTTCTTTTTCAGACTTGAGCCTTTACTAATGTGAACAAAGCATGGGCTGAATGCCATGAGGAGTAAGGTTCAAATAAAGTACAAAACAAACTTATTGAAGAAGTGGAAAGAGGAGACAAAGCCAGCATTGAATCAATGTTTTTTTTTTTTTTTATTCACTCCAGTTTCCAGAGATTAGCTTTCTCTCTACCCACCTCATGACTCTGTAGCCATCAATGTGTACATCTAAAACAAAAAAGTTCACTCTAGTCACTGTGCTGTGACTTACTTCAACAGTCGTATCCTTGTTTGCTTTGTGTCTTAAGAGCGTTTTCATTTTATCATCATCCATTTTTCTTCTGCGCAGAGGTTTTTCAGCTCCTGAGGCAGAAATGCTGTACATGCAGGAGGTTGAAAAATTGGAAGGATATGGGCAGGAGAGCTATCAAGCCAAGGTGGGTCTGCAGCATCCACCCTACAGCTCTGCGCTCTCCAAAACCATTCAGGACCAAGCTATTTGATTGGTGCAATGTGGAATAAAACAAGCCTTTATCAGTTTATTTTGTTTCTGTTTTTGATCAGGACAACACAGGCGTGGACGTCACTCTGGGTTCCTGTCTTGATGGTATCTTTGTAAAGTATAAGAATGGACGTTCACCTTTATTATATCGGTAAGTTTGGAAGAAATTCATGTCATTCCTGTCAGTTGATTGAACAAAGGCTGCTATACTTTCTCCTTGCTTGCTACAAATTCAACCATTTGGAAATGTTTACATTTGTGAAAAGCACAGATAGCTGAGTTGTGGCACAAAGACTAGAGGAACGCCACCTACCATTCTTATTAAAGAGAAAATGTTTTAAAACCAGATTTGGCAAACGATTGACAAGTCTGTAAAGCAACTGAATGCTAGCTTGTTACTTGAGCTAATAGCCTGACTATGTGCTATTAGTACTCTAAATTACTGAATGGCGAAAAGGTGCAAGTTGACTGCAATATGTTTCAAAGTTAAAATGTCTATAAATAAATGTAATGGATCTCATTATGACTGTAATAATCAATGTTATGGTGTTTTCTCAGTAGTAGGAATGTTTGTTGTTACACCTTTTTTGGATTTAAAGCACTAAAACCACGTTTGTGTGTAAACACTGGCCCATGCCTAATTACAATTATCATGTAAGCAGTGATTAATTAATCCTGCTGGTATAGAGGGAGCTGATGGTGAAATCATTCCTCTAGGATACTGAAATACCCTGTCTCACAGCCTACATAGTAAATGACAAGTATTCTAAGAATATGTATCTGCAGGACAGAGTTATTTTTAGGTATTTAGTGCTCCCACAATTTAGAAAATAGTCGACCATTGCGTCTGCCTTACAGCAGTAACATTCTTTGTTGTTTTTACGGCCTGTCCAGGTGGCATGAAATTACCAACATGAATCACAATAGGTCCTTCTTTGGCCTGGAGCTCAGCAACAGAGAGGAGAGTGTTCAGTTCCAGACCGTAAGTCCGTCCCTTCTCAACCAAAACATTGTTCTGTTTAACTTTATTTGGCTAACCTGGAATTTTTCATTTGTCATGGATTTCACCACTGGCTTAGCTGAATGCCTCTTTGTGAGAGCAACGTATATTTAGGTTGTGTTTTTGGCTTACCAATGTGGAAAGACAGAAATAGTCTTTCGAAAGTATTCACAAAAACTTGTTCATATTTTTGTCACATTACAACCACAAACCTCTATGTATTTTATTTGAATTTTATACCAAAGAACAACACAGAATCATGCATGACTGTGATGTGGAAGAAAAATAACATACATTTCAAAAAGTGTGAAACTCTTGACACCAACCTCACCAAAATAAAATCCATTCTGCTGCCAGAAGTCACCTAATGAGTTAATAGTCTGTTTTGTTTTTTTGTTTTTTTTTATCTCAGCTTCTCTGAGATAAAATTTGTTAGAGATAGAAGTGTATTAGAGAACATCAGTAAAGATGAAGATCAAGAAACGCATAAGACAAGTTGGGGATTTTACAGAGAGGGTGAAAAATAAGTAAAAGCTAGAGAGTGTATGTATTTTTCCACTGCACTGTTCTAACCAAACTAAGTTAAGTTCACCTCTGTACCTTTTTTGCCTTGCAGTTTCAAATATGTGTTTTCTTTCTTTATTTGTAGGACGACATGGAAACGTCTAAATACGTCTGCCGCATGTGTCTGGCCAGACTCAAGTTTTATAAGATCAACAAGAGCAACTTGTAAGCATTTTGCAGCATGTCTAGCCTAGTTCCTGTCTCCGTACCGTCTCCTTCTCCTCTTCAGTCTTACCTCATGTCTTTCCAATTCTCCTCTCTCTCTTCAGAGAGGAGAGTCCCCCCCTGCCCTCTGAGAGCTCCCAGAAGTCCCTTCTCACTCTATCCTTTCCTCGTTTTCCAATACTCTCTCGCACATTTCTGCCTTCAGATAAGGGGTGAGCAACACTGCCACCCTCTGTCTGTGTGTTTCCACAAGTTTGCCACCTGAGGTCAAAAATGAAAGCCCTCTGTATTGCCTAAAGTATTGATGCTTGTCTGTGAATAAGAATGTAGGTGAGCCAGCAATTGCGACCACATGTTCTATTTTATTCAAATTCTACAAGCATTTGGGCAAGAATCATAAAATTCTAGTTCCATGATAAGATGACACCTCAGCACAAAATCCATCTTTGAAATCTCCTCGCTTTGAAACGGCTAGTAGAGGTTTATAGCCAAATGAAGGCAATTAAGAAGAGAATGCTTGGCCACATTTATGAGTTTATAGATCAAGAACAGTGCACAGAGCTTCATGAAGCCATAAATTTTACTTTTCTGTAGTAAAGCATTTTTTGTTTATTGTTGTCACATGCATTCTGTGACTCATAAGTGCATAAAGCAAGGTCCATAAATCCATATTAAAGCCTATTTGTTAACGTTTCTGTGTCTGAAGCGTCTCAATACTACAGATGTATATACATTTTTTTTTCTTGTATCAAACCACAGTTTTAAAGTTGGTCAAGACACCACAAATGAGTTCTGACCCAACACCAATGATAATTATAGACTAGAGACTAGGAAGCTTCCTGAAATTGATTTTCTGGGTAATTTAACATATTTATACAACGGAAATATTTAAACTAGTGCCATTTTGTTTTAATAAGCTTTCGTTTTTTTTTTTTGTTTGTTTTTCTTCCTTTTTTTGTTTCTTCAGCCAAACTCCACCTACAGCAGTCAATTTAGTCAGACGGAGATCTTCAACGAGAATTTCTCTGGTAATGTCTACATTGTCCTACTACACACCTGCACAGTGGAATCAGTTTTATTTTATGTTTGTTAAAGACTCTTTGAAATTTTCCCTGCAAAATTTGTTAAATTTGACAAAAGCAAAACTTTCTGTTTTTACATAAGGTCTTGCTTCTGTGTTGCCTTAATATTTACAAATGTGATCATTTCAATACATTGCAAAAAAAAAAAAAAAATAGTACTAGTGGTTTAATGTGGTAACTCAATAAATGCACAGTCTGTGAAAATCAGATTAATTTCATTATTTATTTCATATTTCCTGCTCTCCGGCTCATCATGAAATAATCTCAACTTTCACTCAGGCTCATAAAGTAGCCGCTAACATTCTGTTGGTTAATCTGAGTGGCAGTTTATCTGCAGACCAAATGTCTTTTGCTCCTGAGCCCTGCCCACTGATTTTAATGTATGCAAGAAAGATTAAATGAATTGCAACACAGAAATGCAGAATAATTAAGTAAAATAAAAACCTCCCGACTATAATTACAGTAAATAAATGTGTATGCTTGACATGAATATGCAGTTTTTGTTTTTACATTTACTTACGTGTGCACTTCATGAATTGCAGAAACCTTTACACCAGTTATTTACTTGATGCATGGTTTCCACTTTGATGTAAATTAATCTGAATAGAAATAAGTATTTAAAGACTTTTGACTCTAGTAATTATGAGAGTTGATTAAAATCTCTGTTTTGTTTCTTTACAGCCAAAGTCTCAGGCCTACTTGATGCCTCAGATGCACTACAATGGCCATTTTACTGAGCCCTACACTTCATCACAAGGTACGCACCGACTAGAAATAGGGTTGCATTCCCATGTCAGGCAATGGGATCGAAATCCGCTTTTTTTTTTCTCACCAATGTGCCTAATTCCAATATTTCCACTCCTTTTTTTTTTTTTCAATTCCTTTGTGCTATGATCTTGTGACGATACTGTCGGCTCTCCCCGCTCAGTAAACATCGGATGTTCCCTCTCTCTCGTAGATAACCTGTATATGAATCCCCAGAATGGTTTTTACTACCACTCCCAGACCAGCCTGGACTGCTCTCCTCTTGAGTACAGCAGCGGAGGGCGTCTGCGCAACGGCAGCGTCTACAGCGCCCACAGCACCAGCTCACTGAACAATCCCCAGCACTACCTTCAGCCCTCGCCCATGTCCTCTAACCCCTCCATTACGAGTGACATCACCAGGCCAGACTTCGTTCCCTCCCATCGCCACAGCGCGCTCATCCCACCCTCCTATCGCGCCACTCCTGATTACGAGACGGTGATGCGGCAGAAGAACCGAGGCATGGCGGGGGGCATGGTTCTGTCTCAGGAGCATCGGCAGAGCCACTCCATGAGGAATTTGAACATCGGGAACTCGTACGCGTACAGCAGACCGGACCCTCTGGTTTACAGCCAACCAGAAATAAGAGTAGAGTACGGCGGAACGTCCCAGCATCACCAGTACCCCTTTCATCTGGGCTCCAGCTTCCACAGCCCCTCTCCGTACCCCTACCCTCCAGAGCGGAGGCCCGTTGTTGGAGCTGTCAGCGTCCCAGAGCTCACAAACGTCCAGCTGCAGCAGGCGCAGGAATATCCGGCCCCCAACATCATGAGAACGCAGGTCTACCGACCGCCGCCACCTTGCCCGTACGCTCACCCGCGTCCTGCCAACAGCACGCCTGACCTGTCTCGTCACCTCTACGTCAGCAGCAGCAACCCAGACCTGATAATCACCAGACGAGTCCATCACTCTGTCCAGACCTTCCAGGAGGACAGCCTGCCTGTCGCACACTCCCTACAGGAAGTATCAGAGCCTCTGTTCAGCGCTCCGCCGCATCGACAGCCGTACCACGCTCACAAGCGAAACTCCATCGAGATCGCCGGTTTGGCTCACAGCCTGGAGGCAGTGAGGGTCAAAGAGAGAACTATGTCCTCCTCAGCAGCGGAAGCAGCGACCCCACCTCCTGTGGTGCATTCTGGGTCCCAGGTTAACGTGTTTTTAGAACATGCTAAGTCGGCGGAGAGGGCAGACGCACAGTACGGACACAAAAAGTCTCTGTCCGATGCGACAATGCTAGTTCATAGTAGCGGGGAAGATGAGGAGTTGGAGGACGATAGTGGGCGTCACACTCCTCTTTCACAGGAAGCGGTGGTTATTCCAGAGCAGCCGTCACCGCAGCAGCAGCAGCATCGCAGCCTGACGTCTCTGTCCTCTGTGACGACTCAGCAACAAATCCCGAAGGAGCCGCCTCCCGCGTATCCCATAGGATCTGCCCTAGACCCCTCCAAAACCAGCCCCCTGGTCTATAAAGTTCACCCTCGGATCCACAAAGGAGAGCCGCTTTACATGCTGTCAGATTTGAGACAACCTGAAATTATGCCCTCAGTGTCTGAGAGCGACGTGAGCGAGCAAGACAATCACAAGCCCAAGAGAGACTTCAGTAAGGGACCCGTGTTCGCACTTCCTGCTGGAGGACAATCGTTGCAGGGTTTACCTCCTCCGGTGAGTTTCTTCTCTAAAATCTGTTTTTTTGTCTTGTAGCAGATTTATTGTTACCAGGGTTTTTACAGAGTCTGGGAAAGTCTCAAGAGATGAAATCTGAATAAGAAGACTCCGTCCAACCAACCATTAATTTTAATCCTAACTACCGTCAAAAATATCTGATAGAAATTAATAAAAAAAGTTTTTTTTTTTTTTTTTTTTTATAAAAGTTGGCTTAAAAAAAGGTCATAACGCTTGAAATTTAAATCTTGTATAGGCCTGTCACAATGGCAAATTCTGCTGGATGATATATGATCCCAGTAGTTTTTCAAACAAACAATAATATTTTCATTTTTGGACTATTTTCAACGAATATAATGATAATGGCATAATAATGCAAGCTTGCCCTCTTAAAGACCGATAAACTTTAATGCTGTAAAGAGCACTGGAACCTAATTCAAGATATTTTTTATATCAGAAATAAATCGCAACAATAAGAATAAAGGAGGAGGAAATGAAAAACACACAAAACCAAAACCTTGAATAAAATGAATTATTACCTCTTTGTAAATGAAATTGCGCTTCAAAAAAATATTAAATATCCGACTGGAAATAATTAAGCTCATTTTGCAATTAATCTTAAAAAGTTTTGAGTTTTGCCATTGAAGGATCTGTCTGAACCCTGTTGCAGGCCTTTTATCAGTCATTTTCTGCATACCAACATACAAGCGTTTGTTAATGAGAAGAGTTGCTCCCTGTAAAAATGCGAAAGTGAAGGTGCTGGCAAGACGAGCAGAAGAAACCAGACAGTCAACAGAGCAGCTGGCAGACACTTCTTGGATAAAGTAACAAAGCTGGAATGTTAAAAATGAAACATAGGGCGTTATCCCTGATTGTGTTTGAAATGTTGTTGTTCTGGGCAGTCAGCTGCTCTGGTCAGCAGTGACCATAGACGCGATTTGTCTGTGTTTTTGGAACACTTCTAAAAATACTAGGTTAGATTTAGATTTTTTTTTTTGTCAATGAGGTTTTTGAAAATCACACAAACGGACCTTGAGAGAAAAGGAAGATGGTTGGAAGTTTGCTACGCCTGCAGATGATGACCGCAATGGTTTCAGGTTGACAAGTCAGCAAAAGGAATGCTCCTCTGCTTCCTCGTTGAACTGGAAAGGTGACATTTTAGCTAAAGAAAACAGTGAGCAAGCATGCGCCGTCCCTCCCCTCACCTGTCTGGAATCCCTTTTTTTATCCGAAGCTTTTACGCATTTCCCCTGATCTTTTCCTCTTTGTCTCCGCTCGGTCGCACCAGGGGATGAAGAAAGGATCCAGGTTAGAGGTGAGGAAGATGGGCCCTCTGAAGGTGGCCCGTCACAACGGCCTGTCGGTGTCCAGGAAGGTGGTGCAGAACGAGGTCAAAGACGAGCCGGAGCAGCCGTCTAATGACGAGAAAGTAAGACGCTTCGGTTTTCAGGGCCTTGCTCCTCGAGAGTTAACGCGTCTAATGTTTCATTTTCACGTTTAAAACTAGAGAGAGAAATGTTTCTTTAAGGGTAAACAGCTGATCAACAGGAGTTGCAGGTCTTGTTGGTGTTCATAAACTTCAGGTGAGGATTTTTTATTAAGAGGGAAACATGGTGGAAATTCTTTCAGGTCTAAGTTTAAAATAAATTGTGTGAATTTATGCCTCATTCAGTCGCTGATTAAGTTGTCTAAATAATGGCGTTTCTGTCTGAAAGTGTAAAAACATAAACGGTTTTGAAGGTCATTGTTATTTGACTTGAACACCACAGCTGTTGTGCTTTTTTCTCAGCACAGCAACAATATTTACACTTTTAGAAAGTTTATTAAAAAAAAAAAGGTAAGAATTTAATCAGGGTTGTTCTAACAGCTAACATTAAACTATGATGACAACAATTACCATAGTTAGAGTGTAGTGTATTTTGTGACCCTTCTCAGAGGTATTTTTAAAGTCTTTCTGCATTTTAATATCTGATTTTTATCTGTTTAAAATTCAAAGAATTTCCCCATAAAATAATCTAAGCTGTTTTAGATCTGACCAAAGATGAGGAAGATTATGCACAGCTCACTGCACTGGATAATTTATTCTCTTCATGAAATCAGCCTGGGACCCTAAACCTGGAAAACATTCACTGTAATCCACATAGGTGCTTTTGAATATCTTTATTTTCCACAGCTTTCAATTTTAGTTATCTAAACAGAGTCATTGCACAAAATCATAATTTATTTCTGTTGATTTTAATGATTATTTACACTGTTGAATAAAGTGTTACCTTGGTGAAAAGCCTCTCACAGCTCAGACAGTGTTAGGGTTTCATCTCTATTGCAGCCGGTCAGCTTGAGGCTCTGCTGGGGCGTTAAGGAAGCTCTAATTACGTTATTATCGACCTTCAACTCGTCTGCACTGTCGGGTCTCTCTCATCTTTCTTCTGACAATACTAAACCAGCTGCTGGTGCATCTGGCAGCGTGGCCAGGTGCCGAGTCCTCCTTGAAAAGTAATAAATCAGGATCTCCATAAAGCTGCTCAGCAGCTGGAAGCATGAAGAATGTTCCTGATGGACAGCTGCGTTTGGTTTTAGACTTGATAAAAACCCAGACATTACTGATATCATCCCTGGTTAAATTGTTGCTTAGAAGAAAAAAATGTGACCGTAGCTCGTGTTTTGGATAGAGATCCTCCAGCTGCAGCCCACCTGAAACTGAACCCCGTTTCTTACACCGGCGTTGGTGTGCAGTCTTCTTAAAGATGCGATTATTATTAGTGCTAGGCAAGATTCTTTTTTCCTTTAACTCAACTTTCCTTTAACATTCTCAAACATAATTGGATTGGTCTAAAGTGTGTGTGTGTGTTTCAGTGCAAGTTGCTGGAGCAGCATGTGGAAATGGGGGAGCTGCTGAAGGAGTTTGAGAGCGTCCCAAAGCGCGTCCCAGGAGAGGATTGCAACACGGCCCTGCTCGCTGAGAACAGAGACAAAAACCGCTTCGCAGACGTCCTGCCTTATGACAGCAGCAGAGTGGAGCTGGTTCCCACTAAAGAGAACAACACGGGCTACATCAACGCATCGCACGTTAAGGTAAGAGGCGCACAGAGATGTTTAATAGTGGCTCACAAACCTTTTGGCTTCCAATGCAAACCACTGGCAAGGAGATGCAACCAACAAACCAGTTTAGCAAGGAATCAAACAGCCTCACATTTAAACATCTGGAGCTGCTGCTTTTCCACAGGTTCAACATTATTGTCACAGATATGATATAAATGATTTGATTAATTTCTTGACATCGGCTCAAGGCCCAAATGCTTTCCTCGGCCACTTTTGGTTTTACATTTAGTCTCGCTTTCCGGAATTTTAGCAAGTGCACTGCTGCTATTCAAAATGAGTATTTAAGCTTCGTCAGTCATGCGTGTCGGATTATTTGTGGCATTCAAATCTGCCACACCGACATTTTCCCACTTCCCTCTTCCTCCCTTTGTCTCCGTTAGGTAACAATAGGCGGACAGACGTGGAGCTACATCGCTGCACAGGGTCCTCTGTCTCACACGTGTGCAGACTTTTGGCAGATGGTGTGGGAGGAGGACGTCTCCATCATCGCCATGGTGACTGCTGAAGAGGTGTGTTCATTCTTTACAATCAAAGTTAAACATTTGCATTTATTCATTCGTTTGGGTTTATCTAAAATGGCCAGATAGATCGCCCTGCACAGAAAATATGAGTTATTCTCTAATATGTCATTAAATGAGGCAAAACTTTATTACTGTTATGTTCTTTTGGATCTACCAGATTATTTCTATTTGCTAAATGCCAAAATAATCAGATGTATTTAAAAAAAAATAAAAATAAACAGTTCAAATAAAATCTATCTAATGGATTTTAAAAGGATGTCTAAAGAAATGCCTCTCATATTACTTTAACACTATAAATAATACAAGGCAATTCAACAGCTATTGAATGGGTTGAAGTTGGAAGTAAATTATAGATGAACAGCTCGAAAGCTTCTGCTAAAGGATACAGCTTTTAATTAGGAAAATTAATTTGGTATTTAGAAACGGGCTTTAGGTTGTTGACTTAAGAACCGTATCTAGCTACGGATATTCGCTGATGTCATCAGGTGTCAGGACAGAGATCTAGAAGGTCCTTTTTAAACAGAGGTAAAGGATGAGGCCTGATATGTTTCCCTGAGGAACTCCTGCTACTATAGAGCCAGTTTTCCTCATCCCTGCCTTCCTGCAGGAGAGCGGTCGAGAGAAGAGCTGCCGTTATTGGCCTCGTCTCGGCTCCCGTCACAACACGGTGACTTACGGCCGATTCAGGATCACCACGCGCTTCAGGACGGAATCTGGCTGCTACGCCACCACGGGGCTGAAGATCAAAAACGTCCCCAAGGACCAAGAGAGGACCGTCTGGCACCTGCAGTACACGGACTGGCCTGACCACGGCTGTCCAGAGGACTTTAAAGGTTTCCTCAGTGAGTGGAACCAGTCTGCTCTTCATGATCCAACCTGTTATTGACTTATGAATGTTTTAAAGTTAATCCATCACCTCTTCTTTCTGTGAATACGTCTCCAGCGTACCTCGAGGAGGTCCAGTCTGTGAGGAGACACACGAACGCCATCAGTGACCCGAAAAACATCAACCCAGTGCTGGTCCACTGCAGCGCTGGAGTGGGTCGCTCCGGAGTCGTCATCCTTTCTGAGCTCATGATAGCTTGTCTGGAGCACAACGAGGTAAACTATCCTCCGTGAAAGAGGAGGAAAACCAGAGCTACCATTTGTTCATCTGCGAATGAGCATCATGTAGGAACCGTCACTGTTTCAGGTGCTGACTGTCCCAGAAGTCCTGAGGATGCTGCGTGACCAGAGGATGCTGATGGTTCAGACGTTGTCTCAGTACACGTTCGTCTACAAGGTTCTCATCGAGTACCTCCGCAACTCCAGGCTCATCTGATGGGCGACACGTCCCGGATTACCGCAGAGGGGAGGATTAAGCGTTTATAACAAACTGCACTGAGGCAGCTGCTCATATCTGTCCCAAGCGTGGACGCCATAATTTGGACACCGTTTTTGCCAAGTATTAAATCATTTTCATTCTAAGAAGTGAAATGATGAGAGAGAAGAGACGCCACATGAAGAAACTCGGACTGTGACCTGCCTCTTAACAGTATTATCTTAAAGATATTATTTTTTTACACACGCAGGTTGTTTAACAAAGCCCAGCACTTTGATGGTACCACGAGTACAAAATGAAGTAATGCTAAGCTGCATAAACAAATACTATTGAAAACTTTTATGTTCATTTAATGAAGGATACTGTTGAAATCACGGATAAGTGCTTCTGAATAGACAAGAAAAAAATCTTTGAAAACTTAATTTATGTTAATAATTTGATTCCAAATGTAAAACTTGGAAACGTTATGCAGTGATATTTGATAAATATGGTTTACAGGTAAGTTTGAATATTGCAGAAGACTAATAAAAAGGTGGTGTACAGTGCAAAAACACAAAGTGTTACCAAGTACATTTAGTGCAAATATCTTGGTACACTTGAAATAATAATAATAATAAACAAAAACTAACTTGCAATTAGCTTTTCAGCAAAATAATAGGAGCTTGTTTTAAGTCAATAATTTCTTTAATATTAAAAAAAAGTACTGGTTCCATTGGCAGATTATTTCACTTACAACATAGTTGTACATGGTGAAAAGTTTCTTAGTTCACTTGAAAAGAGACAAAACCAAGAAACTAGACTGAAAATACTTGGTGAGGTTTTGTGTTTTTGCAGTTGGGTTTTTATTAGCTGTAAGCCATAATCATCAAACCCAATCTCACAATATGTGTCAGTGTTAACAAATCTTCATAACGAGTTTAGCTTTTCTTTTTAATTGAATTAACCATGTTGGATTATATTCCACTTTATTCAGATGTACCTTTGTTTTATTGTTGCTTTGTTTCGTCCTTCTGTCTGTTGGAAAACTCAGAAAGTAACTTGGTGAATCTGAGATTGTCTCCTAGAGTCACGACAAAAAAATAATCAGGCTGTCTAAACAAAAGTAGATTTTGATTTTAAACAAAAATAGATTTTGTTTCAACAAAATCTACATGACCTCTGAGGAGCTGTAAAGCCACACACCTGCTGTAAGAGGGACAGTGAGGACTGGACTTTGTGAAACACTGGACGGACGAGAACTGGAACAAAGAGAAAAGTGCTAACTTTTTTTTTTTTTTTTTAGAGGGGAAGGGGGGAAGTTTAATTTATTTATGGGTTTAAAACAATTGGAGTTTGTATTTAAAGATTTACTGTTTGCTGCAACTAAAAAATCAATACACCGTCTAAGCTGTTACAAAGTGCCTTAAAAACTGGGAAGGCAGAGCTTTTTTTTTTTTTGTTTTTTGTATTTTGGAAAGCTAAGAAGGACATGCTTCTGATTTAGTGTAATTTATTGAAGTGATAAAGCATTTTGTGAAGGAGATACAAATGAAACGTGATTTTTATTTTTTCCTGTATAAATCAGACGACAGCTGTGAGCTGGTTCGGCTGAACGGAGCGTCTCCGGTTCCGGTGTTCTGCTCTGCGATTATTAAAGAAATCAAGAGTTTAAACTGCACAGAAACGACGTTTACAGACACTCTGGAACAACAACAACAACAAAAAAATTAAAGTCTCAATTTATTCAGGTAGCCTGATTGTCGCCAACAAGTTTTTCTAAGACACAACGATGTGATCGGAAGAAAAATGCTTCAGATTGTTCTTTTGAAGAATTAAAACTAAACGTGTAAGCGTTCAGCCATGTACAGGTACTTTTGTCACTGTAAATTCTGCTCCAATGAGTATTGTAAAAATGTTTATAAACTATATGTATTAAAGCCAACATGCTGTTACCGGTAAAAGTATTGAAATAAGTTGTTTTTGCAACAAGCTGCTGATGTTCAGTCCATTTTATGGAGACTAATAGAGGCTTTTATTCATTTAAATCAGATGTGAGGGCTCATATCTACTCTAGGTAGCACTGCTGATAGTTTTCAGTTTTAAATCCAATACAGATTTAAGAAGAGGTCTCTCCTCTTTTCATGTGAAATAATGTAGAATTTTCTGCTCAGATATTTACGGTAATAAAGTCCTCATTCACCGTGGTCAAGCTTTTCCAACCGGTTTCGATTTTACTACTTCTCTTCACCTCGTCCATGCAGGGGCCACGTTTACAGTGCAGGTCAGAAGTTTACAGTCACAGCATGTTAATTCAAATACTTTTTTTTTTCTTCCTTTGGGGTGCTTTATTTGTTTACTCACAAAGGTGGGCTGAATAAACATTTTAATAAGAATCAAGTTTTCTTTTTCACTAGTCCACACATGGTCAAAATGATTGATTTCATTTGCTAGTGCTATGTAAACAAACTGAAACGAGCACACAAATTAAAGCTACTGAAAATGTGTCGCCTAGGTTCAAATCTACGGGGACGGGAGTCAAAAACCAACCAGAATTATGGCAGACGCTTGTCGAAAAACCGAACTGGAGCTTCGTTAATGACGGACGTTTAGCCAAATGTTAGAGGGCGTCCATGTACATCTGAGTCTGCGATGTAAATGCAGATTCAAAAACATCCACCATAAATTCAAACTTGTGCACCCAATTATTAGACGTTGTTGTATAAATACAAATAAAAGACAATTAAAAATCATATTTAAAAGTCCAAAACCGATAACCAGCGCTGCAGATTTGATCCTCTGATCCACCCGCTTCTAATACTTCAGTTAAAAATATGTCTGTCAAAAGTAAAACACACAGTTGGCATCTTAAAAGCATTCCAGGATGAGTTTCCCAGGACTGTGTTGCTAAAGAACAAAGTAAAACACAAAGCTGCTCTACAAGTCTTATTTGTCTCCCAAGATAAGATCCTGGAGCTACATTACATTAGTTTAATTTATCCTATAATCTCGTAATGACTAGAGATGCACTGATTGCAGTTTTCTGGCAGACCATCGATCTCTAAAAAGCCAGACTTTGCTGAGTCCAGTTCTGGCAGATACAGATTTTCTTGACAGGTGTTATAAGGTCATAATACACCTTTAACTTTATTTCATTGGAAAACACTGAACAACACAAACTCGTTTTAACTGCACATGAGGTAGTGTTCTCAAATAAAATGAAACGTTTAGAGCTTTGCTGGCTAAGCTGTTAAATCAGGTAAATTAAATAAATAGTTTAAATCAGGCCTCCTACTGCAGACGTGGAGGGAGATGAGACTGATGGAATGGATCGGCTTCACATGCAAATATCGACCGATCACATAAAATTAGGAAATCAGGGCCGATCAATCAGTGCACCCCTAGTAACGACAGCTGATTTGTCCATAAAACATATATAAAAAAAAAAAAAACAAACACAAAATATTAAAGTTTGATAAAAAAAAATAAAAATAAAATGAGAGGGGAAGGTTTCCCATTGGTTGGCATCAGATGAGTGTTTTGTTCCACTGAGCTGCGTTCCTGTTAGATTATGTTGTGTGTGTGTAGAAAGCTACATTTGGATCAAATGAAAACTCAAAACACAGCAGATGCTAATACTGGTATCGTCCTCTCTTCCCTCCATGTCCTCCATAGTCTCCATGTCTGTTGTGTCCTCCTTGGTTCCATCCTCCTCCCTTCCATCCTCCACCGCCTCCCCATCCTCCTCTTCCTCCTTGACTCCAGCCGCCGCCGCCGCCTCCTCCTCCTCCGCCACGTCCTCCCCATCCTCCACCTCCATCTTGCCTCTTCTGCCAGGGGGGCATCTCAGGCGGCGGGGCGTCTATCTCGGAGGGACGTCCTCCTCGGTCCGGCACTCTTCCCATCAAAACCTGTTAGGGGAACCAAACATCTCTGTATCGCATCGCCCATCGACTTGAAGTATTTTTTTTTTTTTTTTTTTTTTTTGGGGGGGTTTTTTTTCCTTTTTCCCT